GTGAACTATGGACAACGTTCCTTTGCTTTCAGTGCAGCAAAGGAATGGAACGATCTCCCAGTCAATCTCAGACAGTCTTCATCTCTTGCCTCCTTCCAATCTGAGCTAAAGACCTACTTATTTAATAGTGCCTTTCTAGAATGACTCTTAATACCCACATATATGTGCGCTTAGAGCATGCATTGAGCATGGATTAATGCGCTATATAAATTCACTATTATTATTATTATGTATTACGTGAACCTGTGACAGTTAGGTTGTATACCTCATTGAACAGTATTTCAGTAAAACATGGCATGTCAGCCTGGTGGGGGACAATCACCCTGACTACAAGAGTTTGTAAAACTGTAATACCTATTTTATATACAGTCCGTTTGATTTCATTTGAGACCGATGCTCACTAACACAAAATCTAATAATTGCAACAAAACCAAATTTTGCACAGTCACATGGAATCGACAGACCAACGCTGATGATTTGTCACTTTTCGCTATTTTATCGAGGGGGGACCACTTGCTGGTAGAACAGCCAGGTAATCAACAAGCGTGCAATGAAATTTCAATTTCACATGTGCAACTCACACATGGGTGCTCTACCACCAAGTGATTCCCCCTCGAAAAAATAGCGAAAAGTGACAACAAAATAAAATGATCGTTTGTTAAACAACTTTTTTTATTCGGGTGTCCAAAATTATGAGACAAATCACCAGAGTTGGTCTGTCGATTTCATGTGACTGTGCAAAATCTGTTGTTTTTTTGCCATTATTAGATTTTGTGTTAGTGAGCAATTCATCGGTCTCATGAAATCAAACGGACTATAGTCAGTAATATTTCAGTAATCTAAGCCTGGACTATCCTTGGTTCAATCGTACCTGACTCTAATATATACATATATTGTGATTCATCATGTCACCATGGTTACTATGTGCAATACAGTAATACTGCTTTGACTCCTAAATAAGTGATGAGTCAGTGAATTACAGAGGTGGGGTGAAATGGGGTTTAACGTCGTACTTAATATTCCGCTCATATGACGACGTGCATGCGTGTGTATGTTTGGCTGCTTGTACTAGCCCAGACTTAAGCTGGTTTTATAGTGCTAGCTCACTGAGATACCATGCCGCAGTTAAGCATGAATACCCCACAAGACACATTATACTGACTCCGAGCCGACCAGTCCTTGTTGTACCCATTAATGCCGAGCGCCAGACAGAGCCTTGTGATGGTAGGCATTACAATAGGCTCTCGAATATCTTGCTTCTCTATCTTCAAAGGGGTGATATTGCATGATCTTCAAATTTTAACATTTGATGGAATGGCGGGATGTAAATAATACAGAATGTATTGACGCCAATTTTTAAACTATTACTATGGGTATCCAAGTGTCAGTACATTTAGTTTTGAAAATCGGTTGACTTGCCGTTGCGTCAAATCGACCCCAAACCAAAATTCACCTGACTATTTTCAACAGTTTGCTTCAAATACGCAGGGGGTGGTTGGGTAGCTTAGTGGTTAAATCGTTCGCTCGTCACGCCGAAGGCCCGGGTTCGATTCCCCACATGGGTACAATGTGTGAAGCCCATTTCTGTTGTTTTTCCGTGATATTGCTGGAATATTGCTAAAAGCAGCGTAAAACCATACTCACTCACTCAAATACGCAGGATTTGTGTGTCAGGGCCATCCCTGTGATAGATAACTCCACTGTACAGAAGAGCAGATTGGAAGTTGGAACTCCAGATTTGCTCAGATAATTCCTTGTTGGTCTGCACCTAACCCGTACTCGTAGGTTTCACATTAAGCTGATGAACCCTGGTGTAAATTATTCAAAGCACAAAACTGCTCATGGCACAGAATGACTTATCTGTATTCTGTGCGTCACTGTGAATATTGAAAATTTACTTTGAAAACTGAATGTCAATGGTGAAAACTAAGTATGTGAGCGTGCGTGCGCGCGCGTATAATATACTACTCACACTTTGCTAAGGATCACACAAATTTACAACTTTCCTCAAACGTAGATTTATAATTTGAAATTGTATCCACTTAAAACTTGATAAATAATACTACAGTAACCCTTCTTTAGGCAAACAGCCACCTTAATCTAACCTTACGCACCTTATACATGAGGAACCATAAAAATGGTTTTCATGGCACAAGTCAGCCATTTTTCAAATCATGGAACGTGTCACTGACAAGTACACAACACCTGTCAATAGCAGGTATGGGATCCACAAGATGAAATGACATCCTAAAACCTAAGATCCATGCTTACAATAAGCTTAGATATTTAAACCTAATTTGACGCCACATCATAGTTTTCTGTTGAATCCATGATTTGATCCTTAGTGTGAATAGTATAATTTCTTAATTTCTGTAGAAACTTAACACTAGTCCTAATAAACAAGCTGGTCATTTCCACGTGGCATCTTGTGAAGTATCTACACATAATTAGATGTTTGACGGAACATAGCATGGGGTGATCATGGTGATTCTGCTTCACAAACTAGAGACTAAACAGTGGAAAAGAGACATGAACATGATTCTATCATAATGCATATTTATTCGTCTTACATGGTTGAACCCCACCCTAAATGTCAGAAATAATGCTAAGGGTCTGTAAAAGGTCTGCTGGAAACTCTGTTTGGTTGGCATTCCTGACACTGGTGAGTAAATACGAAAAATTAATGGTTATAATTTCATTTATTTCATACATCAAAGTTTTGAGGAATATATTCATATTTTGTGATTAAAAAGTCTACTGCTCGATTAGATCGATTAGAGCCAGTAGAAATCAAGGGCATTAAATCTTGTATGCTTATGCATGGGCGGATCCAGGAATTTTGAAAGTGTGGGGGGTGGGGTGGGGGTTGGGTTCAGGGTTCAAAAAAAAAAAAATCTTCAATATGGTCTTAAGTCATTTTCAAAGGGGGTCGAACCCTGACCCACCCCCACCCTCTCTGGATCCGCCAATGTAGTGAATGTGTCATCAAGTTAGTACTATATAATCAATATCAAATCAGCATGTTACAACTTCAACCATTTAACTTTCTAGTGTTACTGTACATATGGCATTTGCTAAGTATCTATGTGCTGCTTCATATATACTCAGTAACAAAAGTTAAGGACAACCCAAATTTCAATATTTAATAGTTTATATTATGATTCATATAATACTTAAATATTGAATTTTGAGGTGATCGTTGACGTTTTTGTTGAGTATATATTACCTGTCGTTGTAAGTGTTAATTGCTGATTATCACAACCTATTATGTACAGACACCTCTCTTCATAGCACTGTAGTCACTTCAGCTTAAGTATGAATCAACTTCAAAATGTTACTGAATTCAGTACAGAAGAAGCTGGTATTCGCCACCCTGAACTGTGTCTTGACAGCTAATGGAATGTTGAGGAAGACCACCTGCCCTGCTGGCTAGATATCACACAGAAGAATCAAATCAAACTTCTTCAAACATTTAAGCTAATTCTTTCACTGTTACAATCCTAACATGTAATATTTGAGATTCCACTTTCTCAGTAAAGAACAGATTCTAATACTTTTTGGGTTGAGTCCATTTCCCACCCTCAGAGTCAGGCAGCTAATCGCCAGCACACAAAGTCAGGCACCTAACCTGCTCAGCCACCGCAGCTTACATTTGACCACTTTCTAAATGGCATTGTGTATTCAGGTTACAACCTAGGCTGGGTAAAAAGATTGATAAACAGAAATATCATCCATGACAATAATTATTTATGATTCTTTTATTTCCATATGAAAATTGTATCATCGATAATATTGGGCAAAACTATTGTGATGAAATAAGATTAACCTTACTTAAGTGATACACTTAAGTAGGTTTTTATTCAACGGCTGCTGTTTTGCTGGTAATCCAAGCATAACCAAGTTACCAGTCACCAGTGATGTGAAATATGATGATGTCTTTTAGACTCTGGGGGCATTTGTGCCAAAAGTTAAGTTTCCGATGTTTATTAATAATTGATCTATATTTTGTTAACGATTATTGATCATAACACCAGTCCACATTTAACCTGTTTCCAGTCGACAACACAAGAAGATGATGGAGCTATATGTTCATTCCAGTCTACTCAGGATGGCATGATGAAGTCATGATACTGTACATAATAATAGTGAGTATGGTTTTACAGGGCTTTTAGCAATATTCCAGCAGTCACGGCAGGGGACACCAGAAATGGGCTTCACACATTGTAACCATGGGGAAACGAACCCGGGTCTCCACCTGATGAGCAAACGCTTTAACCACAAGGCCCTATTGCTCCTAATAATTAGAGTGAGTGAGTATGGTTTTGCGCCGCTTTTAGCAATATTCCAGCAATATCAGGGCGGGGACACCAGAAATGGGCTGCACACATTGTACCCATGTGAGGAATCGAACCCGGGTTTTCAGCGTAACAAGCGAACGCCTTAACCACTTGGCTACCCCACCGCCCTCCTAACAATTAGATCACAATAGGAACTGTATCATCATACAAAAAAATTACCATGTATAAATGGCCCAAACAGATTTGATGTCTGACATAGAGCCACAGTTGTCCCTATCCTCCTAAAATGGTGGCTATATATAGGTTTAGGGCCAGTGATTATATGTTGTCAAATACAAAAAACGGAAGACAGAAAAACTCTCAGCTGATTGCCACACTGTGACACTGGTCATAATATTGACAGAGAAAATTTTAAAAATTCCATCTTCCAAAGTTATTACAATCTCATTTAATTCCTGAAAAATTGTGGATTTGTTTATATTAAATAAACACAGTAGCAATAAACAACCAAAATTTAAAATTAATGACGTAAAATCTGTCTGAATTTAGACTTCCTGCGAAAAGTTACTCAGTAAGGCAAGCCTCAAACACTTTTTTGAGCACTTCAGGAAATTATAGAGTAAGAAAATAGAACTAACGCTTCATGTGAAAACTACATATATAGCCCTGGAGCTCTAACTTGTGACAACAACGGCACCGACAGAATGCACTGAAATTTATTGTGCACAGCCACCTGGTATATGAATAAAGGTATTGTACAAATTAACAGGCCATTTATCAGTGTACTGACACCTCAATTTCTTGTATCTGAACTTCATATAACAATGATGCTCTTATGTAACCATGGTAACATGCATTGTTCCAACCTGATTTACCACTTCCGAGCATTTAGGTTAAATTCTAATGCTGCCCTGTTAATATATAAAGTATATGTCTGTACAAGGGTTGGGATAGATTTGTATGTTTTTTTTAATTAAGTTATAAACTTAACATTGTGGTGAATCTGGGAAAAGTTTCAATCTCACTAAAATCACAAGATTTACTCCCAATGATACCTCTCGACTTGGTAGTAATGTAAGAATCTCCTGAGAAATCAGTGTCGTGGAATCTAATTTCTCAGTATCAGTGAACAAATTATTCAGAGCGATAAGTGATTTCTGTTTCACAAAAATGAACCTGAAAGTCTATTTCTGCATGTAAATAATGAAAGCAGTCATTACATCGATGGGATTTGTTAAAGGTAGTACCACCAAATAATGTTTCTCTGCAAATCAAACTTTCCAAGTTAATGTGGTTTAGAGATAAAACGGAGTTTTTAAAAGAAGATTTCTTACTGGCATAATAAGCCAAAATTATTGATTTAGATTTTGTTATCAAAGTCCTTTTAGTGTTCGGCGAACTTCCATGGAGGGATTTGGTATCGTGTTGGAACAATAGCTCTGCTTTCAGTGAGATTGGAGAACATAACATACATTAGATTGTGCGAGTCACATTTCTGGCTACAACAGTGACGTTGAATCAGAAATAAATACAGACTGAGATCAACAACAATAACAGCTGACTATTCCATGTCCAGTATAATCATCAGAAAGACAGACAAAAATCCACATCTTTTGTGCTTCAGTACAGGAGAATTACAGTCTTTCGTATGATTTTGATTTGTCGGAAATAAAGTTCTGTGTAACGAATCACAAAATATCGAACATATGGTAGTTCCGACTCCGTGGCACAATGCTGAACAGGGCAAGAGTATGTAAACGTATCTTCTCACCATGTCTCCGTACCACATACAAAGAGAATCCACTGTGGTAGCTCAGCTATATGAGAGTTTTCAGGTAGATCCAGAGGTACCTGAGTTTCTTCTGACTATGCAGGTATAAATTTGCTGCACCAATCTCAACAATATCACACAACTTCTTCAATGATGCTAAATATATCACTGTATCTGCCTGCAGATTTGTCCATCGGGTTGTCATAGCAACAATTAAGACAACCCTACTGCAATAGATAAAAGCATCAAAGATATTGATACAAAAATATAGAAAGGATGTTCAAGAAACATTGCCAGATGCCCTAGTCATTTGCCACTTTTCTTCTTGAGGTATGTTAAAACACGCTTAATTGCAAGCAAACGTTCCTTGAATGACACCATGGTCACCAATGCCATTTGGACCCGGGGGTCAAGAGGTAGGACGGCCACAACCCACCAGTGCCAGCTCGGGCCGTTCGGGGAAGCCTGTGGGTCTGGATCTTTTGGTGGGATAGCACCAAAGTGTTTCACTATTCTCTGCTTGTGCATACTTGGGAGGTCGTCAAACCAGCTCTTGGAGAGAGTGTACATTTCTTCCTCCAGCTGTTGCAGCTCTGAAACAATCAACGGATATTTTATCTTACATCTCTATTTTATCCAAGCTGACAGACTATTCTTGAATGAGTGAGTGAGTTGAGTTTTACGCCGCACTCAGCAATATTCCAGCTATATGGCGGCGGTCTGTAAATAATCAAGTCTGGACCAGACAATCCAGTGATCAATAGCATGAGCATCGATCTGCGCAATTGGGAACCGATGACATGTGTCAACCAAGTCAGCAAGCCTGACCACCTGATCCCTTTAGTCGCCTCTTACGACAAGCATAGTCGCCTTTTGTGGCAAGCATGGGTTGCTGAAGACCTATTCTACCCCGGATCTTCACGGGTCTATTCTTGAATGAAATGTTTTAGGTAGCCACTATTCCATTTGTCCTATTGTAAAAACTATTATAAGAATTAGCAAACAATTATCACTAGTTAAAAAACGTAAATGATAAGTGGTGTTCAATATAAAAAATATATGTCTAATGGTCAAGTGAGTGAGTTTAGTTTTACGCTTCTTTTAGCAATATTCCAGCAATATCACAGCAGGGGACACCGGAAATGGGCTTCACACATTGCACCCATAATCGAACCCTGGTCTTCGGGGTGACGAGCAAACGCTTTAACCACTAGACTACCCCACCGTCCCCTCAACGGTCAAGAGGTTTATGATAATCTTAATTTTAAAATAGTTTGATTGAAATATATATAACAGCAAATTCTAAATGCATAATCATCATAATAGTTGAGTGAGTGAGGGGTTTTATTCCCCTAATCCAGCAAGGGACTTCAGAAATTGTCTTCACAGCACCCATGTGGAGCATGACAAACAGGCACCTGTTTACCCCAGCTTCACCTCATAGGGCACATCATAATTGTGAATTATAAATGCATGTATTATTATCATAACTGGGGTTAATGTGAGCGCCCACCACACTGAAGACCCGGGTTCGATTCCCCACATCGGTCGCCCATTTCTGATTCCACAGTGTGAAGCACATTTGTGGTGTACCCTGCCATGATATTGCAGGAGTATAGTATAGTGGCATAAATCCCAACTAGCTCACTCTGATAATGGGAGTGAGACTCACCTGTGAGTTGCTCTCCTTCCACCTTCTGGTCACTGAGGTACTCCACTTTGGCCGTGTTATAGCCATCTCGGTGACCACGCTCGAGCACTTTAAACCTTCGGCCTCCGATAGTGTCCAGCAGTGAACGCCCATCGGGGAAAAACTGCACATCACGAATCTCCAACATTGTGCCTACGTCGGAGAAATTGTTCCTGAAAGAAAATCACAGCATGTCAATCTGGTGCATGTTCAGGAATGACTAACACAACAACATGTACAACAGAAAGCGTACAAGAATACATCAACAACAACAATAATAATTCATTTATACAATGCCTCGTATCCATCTGACCAATTTCTCACTGGACACTGTAATCAGAATCTGATTATTACCCCAGATAACCCAGGCTGCCTGTTAGGCTAGAAGGTTATACGCAGTCACATGACTTTTTCCAACCGGGTACCCATTTCCCCCCACCCTAACACCCCCATGAATTATGAATAGTCCCTAATACCTATGGCTAACACTAGTGGTGGTCCGATTAATTGAAATAATCGAAGATTGGTCGCAGTGACTAAACGACCAAGCAATCGATCATGTTTTCTCATAATCGAACACAAACAATTCTGGAACACTTGTTTTCATTAACAGTATTTTTCACTAGGTTGGTTTTGTGTGTTACATTTCATAAGCACTACAAGCTCGTTCCAAGTCATGATTGAATTTATCTTAAAGACTCTAAGAAATTTATGTTCCTAACATACTAGTCATCCTTTAAAGATGTGAAATTTTGCCCAAAACCCCCCAAAGATCTACATGTTTTTTTCCTTATTTTTTTGTGCATTAACAAATTTCATAAATGACGCTAACCAATTATTTTCGATGATTGATCGGTTGTAATGAACTAATCATCAATTATGAGATTTTAACCAATTCCCAACACTAGCTAACACAAAAGTCCACAATGTCCCAGTTGTCAAACTTACTCGTCATCTCCCAGGGCAACACACATGCCGAACTGCCTCGTGCCAGACTCCATGCACTGTCGGATCATCAGGCGATACCGCGGCTCGAAGATGTGGAGAGGGCAGGGGATTGTGGGAAAGGACAGTGTACACACAAACACTGGAATCTCGTGCTTTACATCGCTTCCCATCCTGTAGAAAAACCAACAGGGATAGACAGGGTTAGATATAATGCTTAGCACTGTATAAAAAAAGTCCTATGAAAACAAGCGGAATACTATCAACATACAAACAGATATTTGTGCCCTAAATATATATTTCCAACCAAATCACAATTTGTCTAATCAATAATCATAAGGTCTCAATGTAAATCTGAAAAATTAAACAAATTTTATCTGTTGAAAATTCGACACACATTGTAAGACATAAATCCCTGGTCTGTCTAGTAAGTGAGTGAGTGAATGAGGTTGGTTTTACGCCACTTTTGACAATATTCCAGCAATATCATGGCAGGGGATGGCAGAAATGGGCTTCACACATTGTACCCATGTAGGGAATCAAACCCTGGTCTTGGGCGCGACAAGTGAATGCTTTAACCACTAGCCTACCCCATCGCCCCTGTCTGGTAAAGCTGTGACCATTTCGACTTCCATGTCCTGCCACTAATATTTAGTTGTGAACTTGCCTGGTTAGCTCTAATATCTCCTCTTCGTGTGTTTTCTTTCTCTCCTCATACTCCCGGTCAAAGTATGTTTCCAGGATTGTCTGCACCGATTCCGTCACAGCTTGTCTCCTCTCTGCCAGGTACTGTAACCATGGTAACATACATGTACTCTCAATGTTGGATCAAAGAGGGAGCCGAAAAAAGAAACATGACAAATATCTTAATCACAAGTTTGTCAACTCTTGGATTCTTACAATCTGAGTAAAAAACAGACATTGCTGTACTTTTTCCATAAAAAACAATAAAGACCTTGCATACCTCAACAAGAGAACTTTTACACAGTGGGCAGCTGGTGGTGTGATCCAGACAGCGATCGAGACACTGGCGACAGAAAACATGGCCGGAGGGCGTGGTGACTGGAACGTAGAACAGCCGATAACACAAGCCACATTCAAAGTCCTCCACGGTCAGCAGTTCTTGGGGGATGTACTTAGCGTCATTATAGCTGGCAGCAGTTGGTAGGGAGTCTGGTTCTGAAAGATGATACAGATGTTACTTAGTTGGACATGTAAGGCCCGGGCCTAAATCTTTAGCATCTAATTATCCTGGATTCTGTTCCACAAAGGGATTGTAGCACTATGTCTGCCTTTAGCCATTGGCATGTCCATTGGCAACATTCATCGTGTCCATTGGCAACATTCATCACGTGTCCATTGGCAACATTCAACGTATCCATTGGCAACATTCAACACGTCCATTAGCAACATTGGATTACTGACAAGACAGCCTCCAGAACGTCATGGGCTACAGATAATTTCGGATTATCTGTCCTGACTAAATGGTATTAATACACGGCCTTAGGCAAGGGGCAGCATTCATTCATTTATTCATTCATATGAGAGAGAGACATTATGGATCTGTGACATTATGGATGATGGATAATGTCCCATTGTATTCAACCCAACAATGAAGCACTGTGATGTCATAACTGACCAATCAGCTTTTGAATTGTTAACACACATGCAAATTTTCAAAGGTAATGACACAAAATTTTCCTTATGGGTAATATACACAAATAACTACTCACTCATGTACTTGAGTTCGGAGGACCGCGTGGGGCTTGATGGACACTGTCCAGAAAAATTGCGAGACCGTTTTCTGGAGCAGGTTGTGACGGAAACATCTGGAAGGCTGCCATTGGAGACAGACTGGATGCTCAAATCTCTCATCGCCACTGGCGATGATCCCGGGGAAGATGGAGCCGATGACCTGCAAGAAAAAGAAGATGGAGCCACGGTGACCTGAACAAGATAAAAAGAGTGAGTGAGTTTAGTGAAAAAGAGGAAAAAAAACAGGCATGCTTTTAGCAATATTCCAGCAATATCACGGCAGGGGAACACCAGATATGGGCTTCACACATTGTACCCATGTGGGGAATTGAACCCGGGTGGAACCAAGGGAAAAAAACCAGGCATGGATAAATATTTTGTTTCAAATTGTCAAGTTTGCCAAAAGGCAATTACTAAGATGTTACATGAGCGAGGTTGGTCTTACACTGATTTTAGCTTTATTTCAGCAATTCACAAAGGGACATAAGAAATATGCGTCCCACACTGTACCCATTTCATCTTCATGTCACTTCAGGTAAATCATAACATTATTTCATAACAATACTTTATGTAAGACATTATAGATGACACAATTTCACGCTGACAATATTTCATGGACAATTTCATGAGAAAAATAGTTGTGAAGCAGAATGTAAACTTGGTAATTTAGTTAAATATGGTAGCAACTCTTTAAACTAAACCCCATGTAAAGTAGTCATCCGAGTTAGCATCGGTTCTCTTTGCTTGACCATTTCTATTGTTTCTGTAGCATGTGGCCAGATCTTTACACTTAAACACTTGACTGACTGACTGACTGACTGACTGAGTTTAGTTTTACGCCGCTTTTAGCAATATTCCAGCAATATCACGGCGGGGGACACCAGAAATGGGCTTCACACATTGTGCCCATGTGGGGATTCGAACCCGGGTCTTCGGCGTGACGAGCCAACGCTTTAACCACTAGGCTACCCCACCGCCCCTCTTAAGGACTTAAACATCTCACTTGTCTGATCACCACTGCATGAGCATCACAACACTACACTACTTGGGGTAAGTTAGTTAAGATTTCTTCTGTTCTTCAGTGTTTGCCCCAAGCATAAAAATTTAGAAGTCATCATGACTCCCTGGTGTCATGAGAGGGAGTCATGGACATATTATTGGGAGTCAACTTCAGTTTGGAACTTTCATGAAGACATCAACTGTGATTATTTAATAACGACAAAAACAAGGTAAGGCAGGTCAGGTATTTAATCAGCACTGAGCAGTTAACTAGCAAACATTTAGTCTTAGAATTTAGATTATCTGAACTAAGGGCCCAGTAGCATTGCGTCAACAATGAGGCAAGCTTTTAAATTCACTGCCTATTTGAGATAATTTGTGCGTCAAATACGCTGGTTTTCTGCGCCATTGCACTGGTTCTTACACTTATCATAAGGAGGTTTGGATCTGATATGTTAGTCTTCTTAACTAGATGTTTAGAATTTTAGTTGCATGCCTGTACTGTAGGACAAGTGGCAATATCATTCACATTAAATGAAAGTTTTATATAATAATTGTATATTTAATGTCAGGAGACATTAATATCTACTGTGATCAATAATATTTCAATGTTCACCTACCATGTTGTTATTGGTGCTTATAGTAGTAATTAATATAGCTTATAGCAGTAAGTGCAATACTTTTATGTCATTGAATAATTTATAGCTTACAGCTGTCAGTGGTATATTACTGTAGTAGCTCAGTGCATGAAGTATTGTAGAAGCTAGTAGCTTATTATTATGTCCAGAGTTCAACAAGTAGTAGTCGCCAATGTGTCCTGATGGTGTGCATATATATTGGGATAACATTACTGGGATGTATATAAGTGCATATGCTGAAGTGTGTGTCTGTATGTGAAGACAGGCAATAAATCATATGAGCCCCTCATCATGTCAGTCTATAATATTGCAACCCTGACTGCAAAATCTGTTAATCCTCAACCCCAAATGCAAATCTGTTACATTGCAACCATGGATACAAAATATGTTAAACTGCAACCATGGATGCAAATCTGTTTCATCATAACCATGGAAGCAAAATCTGTTACACTGCAACCCTGACTCACAAAAACTGTTACATTGCAACCATGGATACAAAATATGTTAAACTGCAACCATGGATGCATTATAACCATGGAAGCAAAATCTGTTACACTGCAACCCTGGATGCAAAATCTGATACATGGCAACCCTAGTTTGATTACAGATTGCCTGTTGGTAAAGCCCCACGTTGATTCCCCTAAGGTGACAGCACATTAAAGGATGTTCCGTCAACATGACTGATTGGTGTCTCCCATTGACTTCAAGGAGATGTGTTCCGTTCATTGAGAAAAGATTACTGATTTCATAAACTTGAAATCTCTGGACCTGCTTTGTCAGATGACTTTGAAAGATAGTCTCTAAAAACATTTTGTGTTTTTGCGATTTATGTGTACTATAATATTCCATGTTAGTACATAACTACATTCAAGGAATATACTTGTATATTCCATGTCTGACCAATTTGCATGTGTATATTTGGTTGTCTATATTATTCATCGACTTGTACAAATTAAAATTTTAATAATTTAAAAGCACAAACACCAATAATATTCAAAATGAATATAGCACAAATTAATGTCCATGTAAATATATGTTCAAAAACACAACATTGTTTACACACCACAATTATCCAGCTTCTAATCTCTTTTCTTTCACGGTACACGCACAATTTTCAATCTCCACAAGTACAGTTGTACACAAGACTACTTACAACGAATGACTGTGTGAGCCGCTTCTCTACCCGTATCCAAGTCAAAGGCGTCTTCCTGTTCACAGCAGCCAGCCTGTTGAAAGAACAAGACTGGTTCAACCACAATAGAGATTTGATTTGAACAGAAACGCAAACCCTCACATTGACACAAGCAAAATATCTGGCATACGTGTGGTTACAGATAACAGATGAAAAACATAGTTTCTAACAACCATTAACATACTCCATCAACTTGGTTGACACCATCCTCGATAATCTCCAGGGTATACGTTCCGATAAATCTCCACTATACCCTGGACACATCTACGTCTGACACATCTATGTCTGACACATCTACGTCTCGAGCCGATGATTTTATTACCTCCCTTTGCTGGCTCCGCATTCTCACAGTAGCCAATCAGATAAGCTACCAGAGCTTGCCAGTGTCAACAAAGATAGCGGTCGCAGCCGAAAAAGTTTGTTCGCACTGCAACTCAGACTTGGGGGGAATACTTACAGACAAATTGACAGGTCTGACACCTTAAAAAAAATATATGCAAGAACTCCTTCTACCTCTTTCAGAGTACCTCTGCAACAATATATTATTATGTTGCCAAGTTTAATCGGTTAGATCATTTAAAAAACGAAAGTGAGTTGTGATTGGCACGCTCAACTTCCCAGTGTAGACACATGATTGGATGAAAAGCCAACCAAGGGAGGTAATATCATCGGCTTGAGACGTAGATATGTCCAGGGTATAGTGGAGATTTATCGGAATGTATACCCTGGAGATTACCGAGGATGGGTTGACACATGTCATCGTATCCCAGTTGTGTAGGTCGAGGCTCGTGTTGTTGATAACTGGATTGTCTGGTCTAGACTCGATTATTTACAGACCGTAGCCATATAGCTGGAATACAACTGAGTACGATGTAAAAATAAACTCACTCACTCACACTTTCAGCTTTGGAAATTCAACATAACATTCTACACACCTGGAAGCTCATTTTACTTTTTCACGTCCCTTCTGTAACTAAAAGCAAAAGTTCTCAAAGTTCTGTACCTGTGCAGCTGAAGGTGAAGGTCCCGGTGACACGCTGAAGTTCTCGGCTGTCGTGATGGTTTCACTGATGATACTCTGGAGGTGGTGTATTGTGGATACAGTGAGGTTGGGGAAGAGCTGTGCTGTATCGAAGTTGCTGGATATCAGTTTGTGCAGAATGCTCGGATTCACATACTGTTGACGCACAAGACTCTTTGGGTCATCTGACGGCAGATGCGACAAAATCTTGTGCAAGATCTGAAGAAATAAAAGAATTTGTGTTTTTTATATCACTTTTCTTTTTATTCACAACTCTGTTTAGAAGTTTGTGCTCCAAGTCCAATTCGAAAAGCTTCATACACTTGTTTCAAATGCCCACAAACTGATCAGTTGATAGACCTGAACTAAAAATAACAGTAAATTTGAGCCATGTATAATATCACTAGCTTCTATACAGTAATCATGTTAATACAAGTAATAGCACCTGGGTATACTCACTCACCCATTGAAATTCCCTGGATCAAACCCAAACTAGTGATAACATCACTTATTTTTCACTACTAACCTTTTCCAGAACAAATTGTCCAATTCCTGGGTTTTAATGCTATTTATGCCAAAAGGTCCCCTTGGGAAATCAGCTGTTTTGATCAACTGGAAAGTGTGTATATCCATAGTAAGAGATGCTTTTCATTAAAGCTAATCAGTAGTTTAATCCTAAGGGTTTTCTCACTGACAATGTTTTTTACCTGATTGGTATAACTCACGAAAATTGATGAAACCTCATTGGTTACTGTATAAATTACCTAACTGATATTTGAGATTGTTAAAACTGAAAGATTTAGCCTCACTGGTTATCCTCCTTGACAAATAGTGGCCCCAAACCAGGATAACTGTACGTAACTTTTGTAACCATGGGACCCATGAAGATCCGGGTTAGAACTGGTCTTTAGTAACCCATGCTTGCCGTAAGAAGCGACTAACAGGATCGGGTGGTCAGGCTCGCTGACCTAGTTCCCAATTATGTAGACCGATGCTCATGCTGTTGATCACTGGATTGTGTGGTCCAGACTCAATTATTTACAGACCGCTGCCATATTAGCTGGAATATTGCTGAGTGCGGCATTAAACCAACCAACCAACCAACCGTAACCATGGTAAAACAAACACAACCTTACCTTGCATAGATAGTCTTTGGCAGAAGCAACTGTAGCATCTAAAGCCAGGCACTGTAGGAAGGACACCACAGCCTCTTCATACCGATTTAAACCATACAAAGCACAACCTTGACGAAAATACCCCTGAAACACAATTACAGAGTTTGGAATTAGAATATTCTAATTGGAATAATGAACTGGGTGACGTTGTACAAAACAACCTAAACGCTAAGACTACCTTAAATCTATGTTGCGGTATGGGAGTTACGGTCACCTTAGCGCTAAGATCGCTTTGTACAACGGCACCCTGTATCACAATATGAAACAGAAACTACCAGTTTCTGTCTGTCTCACCATGTTTCAGGGTTCAAATTGTTTTAATGAAATTGTTGTAATGGCAGTACTAAAAGGGCCAAAAGGAGTTCTATCAGTGAATGTACTTAAGCATAAATTGAAAGTAAGCTAAACAAACTATACGAGGGATTTCCAAACTGACAAAGGTATCAACAATTTGAAGGAAGGGCAATATTTCTAAATTATAACAGGTTGTATTTGGGGATCACAGTTTTTCAGTAAAATTGAGACTCAAGTTCTGTTTTGGTTGAGTTTCATCTGGGATTCGAACCCACACACTCAGTGTGGGGCACCAAATCGGCAGCACACAAAGTCAGCCGTCTAACCCACTCAGCCACTGATGTTACCATTGGTAATCACAAAGTATGTGATCCAGACAACCAAAAAGCCATGAGAGCTATCACTGGAAACTGTCATTGCCATGATTGTTTAGTGACATGGTGAAATAACAAAATGATTTACTATCATGCACGTCAAGGCATGTAATGAAAATCTTGTGATTAATCACTCATTGATGATAGCCAATTGACCAGGTAATTCAATGTTAGACATCACAAGCAACTATCAGGGTATGTTCACAAACTATCACACACATCACCCTAGCTAAGCACCAACTCAAGGAGTCCTGGCCCCCGATTTCGTTAAACAAACGTAGACTAAAAGGTCTGAGTTTTGACTCAAGTTACTCAAATTTGAGAAAACGCAGGAAAATGCATTTCCCAGAATGAACTGAAATCGATATCAAACTCAAACATGGTAGACAATTTGAGCTTGGTGGATAGATTACTTAAGTTGTTTGGGCTTTTTTTTATTTTAAAAATGCAGCTGAGTTAAAAATTCAGCTGTTTCATATTCTCAATCTAAGTATGAAATTTGAGTAAAAACTTAAGTTTGTTTTGAGAAATAGGGGCCTGGGTGCTGTTGTACAAAGTGCTAAGGTGACCGTAACTCCAATACCTTAACATAGACTTAAGGTAGCCTTAGCGCTAAGGTTGTTTTGTACAACGGCACCCTGAACACCAGCACAGGCCATTATGGACCAACATCACTGACACACTTTGATGGGGAGAGAAGGGTGGGTGTGTGTGTTTTGCCTGTATGTTGTCATAATGTTGGGCGACAAAAACCCAGTGACTTATTATCACAATATTGGGCGAGGAACTTAACATGAAAACTCACCTTGGGCCAGTCTGGCCTGAGTCGGATGACATTATCTGCATCTTGCAAGGCCTCAGCAGCTTTGTCCAACAGGAAGTAGGCATAGCAACGGTTGCTCAGCAGTAAATGATCCTTTGGAACTGAAAAAGTCAGGGGAGACAATCAGGCATAATCAATAGCTATTGCACTCATGAAAATGCAAATTATTGGATCTTGTCAATGTTAAAGTGCAAAACGGTAGAAATGGACCCAAAGAATATCTAAAACAAATCATCATACAAAGGCTGAACTGCCTAAACTTTCACAACTTCAGTGACTTTTTTTTTCTAATCTGAAACAACATGAACTTCCATGGTGTCAGTGCCACTGTTCAATTTGAATTGCTCTGTCATGTTTCTCATGCTAGGATTTCCACATCTATAATTAGGGATGAAATAATACAATATGTTTCACAATACAGATATTTACATCAAATCGCTTGGAAACTCCTTGACTTTAAATATCATAATATGTTAAAAAAATAATAATTTAGAAATAACAAACTGATTTTGGACTAAGGCATTTCCTCCGACTCTGTTTTGCAATTAGGTGAATGCTTTAATGACTTATCATCAAACCTGTTTGTTAGAAATGATGAATAATACGTACATATGGTGTTGTTTTTTCATTTTAAAAAATCTATTGGTGTCTTGCCATGTGAAACAGATTTCAGCACGTCAGAAAAATGTAATAACAATTGACTACCGAAGAAGTAAACTTCATTAAACATCTTAGTCACAAAATACAACTTGCTTTCATGAAAATTAAATACTGTGTTTCTTCAAAAAAATAACAAAATTTATTACTCGCTTGTGGAAGATACTGCAGTGTAATATGTTTAAGGCAATATTACACTAGTGTAATACCGTTAGATGTATCACGTCATATCGGTTTACAGTTATATTTACTTATAACGTCACAATGCTGATATCTCTGTCGCAATGGTATTAGACCTTGCTTGACTCGCGGAAAGCCAAGAGTCATCACATTGGAGGGTAGTTTCTATCAATTTATGTTGGAAAGTAATATACAGAATACTAAACTCATTTCCGTGAAATACCACTTTTCTTAAACTCGTGAAAGATTTTGTATCAAACTCGCTTTCGCTCGTTTGATACCAAATCACTAACTTGTGTAATGAAAATGGTATTACGCGGAAGGATGTTTGGTTTCCTCAATGAACACGTTTTATCAACATTGTTCCCATGGTGCATTATCACTGAATGCCTGTGCGTAACAAAACGAACGGAGCATGACAGGATTTTGACGTCTTGAATCATTTTTTTTAATGACATTTATACAAAAGAGATGACAGATGGTAGGTATAATCATCTTAATTTATGACTTGTTTTAATTTAACATGTCACAAACAGGACTGTTTTCTATCTTGATTGTCATTTTACCGCCAAAATGTTTAGAGAGTGTCAAGTTGCGAGATGTTAAGATGATTAAGTAGATAAACAATGTTTTCATATCCCTTGCAATGCTGACGGGGTCGTTGTTCGACATGGGTACTACAGATATGTACCCCCAGGTATGTTTCTGCATACTGAAACAAACCCAGCCAGAATCAAAATACAGATACGTACCCCATGACGAGTCCATTCCGCACCATTTTTTTATGTGAACTGTCAAACTATTGTATGAGATGTAACCAATTACATTATATAAGAACGAGCATACCCAGTGTTGAACATTTCACGATGCACAGTATCACTCGCAATCAGGCGAACGGGAACTACAATATAAACTGGTTTTCTTTTTGGGCTAAGGAATGTGGACTCATTCGCCGTTTAGGGTACAGGTATGTTTGTGTATTCTGACCATGACCTAGGGAGCATATCAGTAGTAATGTGCCGACAATGACCCTTCAGCGCGCTACCAATTGTATTTCTTAAACTTACACAGAGAATCATTTTTCGATCAGGTAAGAGTTCCGCCCGTAACCCCCCCTTGAAATGTATTATATTTATTATGATTATTACTAGGGGTTAGGTTTAGGGTTCTGATTTAGCATTATGTAAGGTTTAGGGTTTGGGTAAGCTTTCTATGAAACATCTATTCTTATGCATTGAATGATAAACAAAACTGGGTTATGGGCGGAAATCTTTGGTTTAAGTACTACAACATATCTGATGGGTACTGCCAAGTTTCAAATCCTAAAGTTATATACACACATACAAAACCATCATCATCAATTAACATTATCTGATGACATGTTATGTTACCTCGATTATTTGCTTACTTAGTCTAGATTTGATTATTTCAACTGATATGACAGGGGCGGATACAGCTTTTTGAGAGTTTCAATTGTCATTTAATAAACTTTCAGGGCAAAAGGGGGGGTGCGCACCCCCTCTCTGGATCCGCCTATGTATGAGATTAATGGAATACTCCCGGGCAGCAGTGCTTAGCTACATTCTCCTCAGGCAAACAAAAGCAGTGTCTCAAGACTGTTATCTAATTTACATACTAAAATTTAACCAGTAACAGATACACAATGACTCATTATACAAGAAAACAGATATGATAAAACATTATTTTTGAAACACTGAGGATATTGATTTATCGTCCACGATCCTAACTTTATTGATAGAATCTATATTCGTTGGTATCAATTGTAATGTGTAGATTTACACGTGACATTGGTCAAGCACAAACGTAACTGAGTTTCAGTAATATCTTACATGAACATCAGTTTAACACGTACCACAGATGCAATATCAGATAAAATTGTGTTTAACTCTCTTCGCGGTTATACCAATAATGACAATGGCAGTGAAAATGACAACGTGAAACGTACACGTGACAGTTAGATAACGAGGTCAATGTCAGCAGCCGATGATTTGATTGGTGGGTACAAGCTTAGGCATTAACAAACCATTCTTGAACATTTGGGGAGATTGGGGAGAAAATATACCTTCCCAAAGCGTAATAGGTGTCTAGAATTCAGAAGTTACATTTATATTTTATGTTTTAACTTTGTATGAATTTAATCAGTATCTTATTGCGATCTGACACGAGAAATAGCTTGTGTTTCCCCCATTCTACATTATATAAACAAATAAAAATGGCGGCGATTCTAGTACTTCCGGTTGCAATCTTTTATATAAGACACTCATTGATCTGAGAAAACGTGAATGAATAGTGTTGGGAGATTGATCGAATGTACTTACCAAGTTCAATTGCTTTACTGTAATAAATAATAGCGTTTGGAAAATCCCTCAATTCGAAGTAATTATTGCCCTCCGATTTCAATCTATTTGCCTCACACTCGTCAACAAACCATTTTTCTATCACATGTGTCAAAAGTATATTAGACTTCAGACTGGCCACCTTCAGTCTATAATGCACAACTCCACATATACGACACGCCTTGGAAGAGTCTTTCATCAAACACTTTCGGCAAAATGTATGACCGCAGGGTATCGTCACGGGATCGGACAGTAAGCTCCTACACAACCAACACGTGAACATACACTTTTTGTTCATATTCTGATTTGTCGTATCCTGTTTCACAGTTTCAATCAGCCCTGTCACTAAATGTTTTAACTTCTCGGGCTTCACTTTTCCAAATCGAAATGCGTGTGAATAGGCTTCAAAAGCTTTCTGAAAGTGGCCTCCTCTGGCGAAGCTGTCCGCTAGCCCGAGATATAACTCCATTTTCGGACCATTTTCCTTGATAGTTCTCTCATATATTTCAGCAGCTAGTCCAAAATTGTTCGTACTGAAAGCTTGTCTCGCTAAATCCACCATGTTCTGTTCCTGAAACAAACACAGACCGTTTGCCCTGCCAGGCGTACCGTGGCTGTTACAAAACACCGACTGTCAGTGTTATATAAGATCACGTGGTTTGCTATGGCTTGTCTCATTGGCTGGAGAGTGACCTTCAAAACAGAGCTGTTATAAAATCAAAGTGCACATAGGTTTTTGTTATGTATACAGCATATATAATCCCTGAGGAAAACAGCAACAAATATAGTGTTGTCAGCCCCTTAATTCCATTGCCAAGCTGTTCAGCAGCACTTATGATTTTCTTATATGATTGCAAAATGGCGTATATCATACCTTTACAAGTAGGGTTCACCAAACTGGGTCATTGGACGCGCTCGTGAGATCTGACCCATATATTATTGAGGTACGTTCACATGAACACTTTGACAATGAGGCAATTCGATATTTGGGTTTATATAGTTACTCTGCATTCGTAAGAAGTTTACATAAATACCCATTTAATGAAGTGGCGCATTTTTGTTCCACGAATCATTACACTCAAGCGTAAAATCTGTGCAAATATATATAGTCGCGCGAAACAAACTGTTTGTTGAATTTTCTTTAAAACGTACTAGTCTAATATAGTCCTCTAATAACCCCGACAATCGGTGCAAAATAACAGTGAAATTTAATTCGGGGTTTGTAGAAAATATTTAAATATCTAATAATAAGTGCGGGCATCGTTTTGTGATGTGTTTTACATAGCCACCAAATTCTGAACATGGATCGGTCGGTCGGTCGGGAGAAAAAACTAAGAAAAAATTGATAAAGACAAAAATATCAGAATAATGTTCTTGATTCTCATTTATTGTAATTCCTATTACAATTTCTCGCGCTCATTGGACTTGTGGCAGCGACTGATTAAAACATTTTAGATAGATAAACATTATTTATCGCCAGTTCTAATGGAATCAAATTAATCCTTTCCATCAAAATTACTTTTAGAGCTTTCTTTTGATGTCATCTGTTGATGTCAGTCAGTGCCCAATGGAACTGCCCCCTCCACGATGCACATGCTGATATTGCCAACCCAACACTGAGGCTGGTCTAGTAACCCGCTTTCTGACTTTTGACCCATGCAGTAGGTAAGCCAATCAAATTGGCAAATGGACGTTTCCATGTTCATTATGGGTCGTTTCCGATGTCGATTCCTCCGATTACGAAAGACGAGAGATTTAGCATAACGTCGATCATTGGTATGCGCTGACTTTCCCTGATTTAAATGACGTGCAGTACGTTGTGGAGTGACGACGTGGGCGCCGTGCACGCAGATGTCATCTGTGCAGACAACCTGGACAGACAGACAGATATTTTATGTACTCTTACACAAGCAGCCGGTGGCATCTGGTCCTTATCGGAGCTTGCAACAGCTTTTATAGTAGTGACTAATCTGTTGGAGTCGTTGCACTCGGGCGTCCAGAGCGGAGACGTGATGTGCTCACAATCTGCTGAGGCTTGCAACAATGTTCTGTTGCGGTTGGCGGTGGGGTAGCCTAGTTGTTAAAGCGTTCGCTCGTCACGCCGAAGGCCCGGGTTCGATTCCCCGCATGGGTACATTGTGTAAAGCCCATTTCTGGTGTTCCCCGCTGTGATATTGCTGGAATATTTCTAATAGCGGCGTAAAACACAACTCACGTGCGGACACCCGCAACATGCTTTCGTGAACCATTAACTCGTTGCAAATGTCACATGATCAATACGTCTACTTCCTTAATGATTAAATGTGCTTAAACTAAGTAACCTCGAGCGTTTGGTTTCACGAAAGCAATATGCGCCTGTTCACAACTGAGTTAGAGTGAAAATGGCATACCACCCCATGCACGCACTGTCTGAGGTCACATGCTTCACGACTGTCACATTTTTTATTTCTGAGAGCTTGTTTTCTTCGGAAATGTTTTTGTCACATAAATCAATTACCTTCAATGCCAGACATGCATTCGCGTATATAGTCCTGTTGTTTCACCTCAAAACATTTTTTGGGATTGCATAATGATATTATTATGTAAAGAGCTACAAAGTATACCATTTCCACAACTCATTTAGCATCTTGACAGTTATCGAGATGCCCTCATTATCGACACTTTGTCGTTGATGTATTTTTATATCAGAAAACACCAGTTTATCAGAAGTAATCAGTTTCCAATGTTACGTTAGTGATTTGAGTATTGCACGTAAGGTGCGCGTGTCATGTTTCTTCAAAGCACTTGCCTTCATGCACCTTCAAGTCATCACGGCACGAGACGCCATTTACATATTGCTATTGATTTTTCTGTTATGAAACATGTACACACCACGCGCCATGTAGGCAACATCAGTTCCAATTATCTACGGAACCCTTTCGGAGCCATTCGGATTTTATTTTATTTTTCTCCTTGAAATTTCAAGAAAAAGATCTTGACATTTCAAGGAAAGAAGTTGAAATGTAAAAGATCGCTATCTTGAAATTTCAACTTAATATCTTGAAATTTCAACTTTATATCATAAAATTTCAAGAAAAAATATGAAAAACCGATTGGCCCTAAAATGTTTCCGTAGTTATCACAAATACACGTAAACTATTTCAATAAAGGAAACCAATACTTTCAGCGTATATAACAGCTTAGGTAAATTTGACGGATAAAGTTGACATGCTCTCTAAGCATTGTTTCAACGGTGACTGTCAGTCTTAATATCGATGAGTGAGTGAGTCAGTTTTACGCCGCACTCAGCAATATCCCAGCTATATGACGGCGGTCTCTAAATAATCGACTCTGGGCCAGACAATCCAGTGATCAACAGCATGAGCAACGATCTACGCAATTGGGATACGATGGCATGTGTCAACCAAGTCAGCGAGCCGAAGCAGCCGATCCTGTTACGACAGCATGGGTTATTGGGGATCAATTTTAACCCCAGTCTTCACAGAAGATATAATATCGATGAAACACAAGCCATGGGGATGTCGTTTTCCTCAGCCTGTCCATCATCTAGACCTCACTGGGATGGTAGGTCTTGTAAAGTACATTACCTGTCATTGTCCGTCTCACTTGACCTGTATATTTATATTTCTTTTTTAAAAGCTTCACTTGGCTTTATCATTTAGCCCTGTAGTGAGTGACTTTAGTTTTACGCCGCTTTTAGCAATATTCCAGCAATATCACGGCGGGGGACACCAGAAATTGGCTTCACATATTGTACCCATGTGGGGAATCGAACCCGCGTCTTCGGCGTGACGAGCGAACGCTTTAACCACTGGGCTACCCCACCGCCCCTCATTTTTTAAGGTAAATGTATTTGAATGTGGACGAACTACTACAACACATGGATGTTTCATCACGTACAAAGCCATATGGTTACTGGGAAGATAACAGCTGTGTATCTTGCATACCCTCTGATCCCAAAACCGATAAACCAACTAGTTGCAACAGACTTGTATACAATTCACAGGCGTCAGTGGTAAATTTGATGTTGAAACTTTTATATTTATATTTACCCAGGAGCCGTTGTAGTTTGGGTACTGTTTGTAGATTGATCTCAAATGTGAGTTTTTCAACAATAACAATTGTAATATCCCAAGTGGAGAAAGTGTAAATAATTTCGCTAATAATATTTTGAAAATTGGTTTCAGGCATTGTTACATTTTAACGTGTGTAGCCAGATTTTCAAATGTTTTGAAATCGTTTTTTATATTAGTAGTTTCAGGGAAAAGTCTTTTTGATATTTAACATTATGCGTTATCGTGTTACAATTTGTTTGCTCATTAGTACATACTTTGAAAAATGCAGGGTCGGTTAGTTAGCCAGCTAGCTGCCCACATTTTGTCTTTGCACTTGCTGTTTCGCAAGCTAGGCATAGACAAAGAAGTACTGAAAATATTTCAAAAGACGGACTTAATGATTACCAGTGTTTTTAGAAGGGAAATTACTACTTTCAGTTAATAATTTGATATACACATTGTTTATGCTTTCTCAAACATGTTACTGTTTACCTTTCCATGATGAGTGAGTGAGCTTGGTTTTACGCCGCTTTTAGCAATATTCCAGCAATATCACGGCGGGGGACACACATTGTACCCATGTTGGGAATCGAACCCGGGTCCTCGGCGTGACGAGCGAACGCTTTAACCACTGGACTACCTCACCGCCCACCGCAAGAACGTTGTTGCAAGCCTCAGCAGGCTGTGAGCGCAATGATGAGTCTAGACACACCTACCCTCATTGTTCTTGTTTAATAAACTGTTTTTGGCAAGAGACTTTTAATATATGTTCAATCTTATACAGCACTTATATTTGTGTTTTAGCCAATACCCGATGAAATATGAAGAACTTTTTTACTTAAAAGTGCAAATAAAGATGTATTATTTCCTTACACAACTAGGCACTTTAATTGCACTTTAATGTTTCAATAACCAGACCGAATGCAAATAATTGTCCCTCGTAACCTTACACGGGCTCTTTCAGGTGTTAATGGGGTTTTTTATTCTCTGTTTATCTTCATATAAGGTAAGACGTTAATATGCTGTCTGTCTGAATCTGACACCCTGTATCAATTGTGCAACTAAACAGTGTATTATTTATATTTATATATTTGGATATATGTACATACATAAACATAAATTAGTATAAACAATAAGCCGCTCAGGGGGGAGTTACATAAATATATGATAGAAAATATGAAATAAAATCACAATTAACAACAATTTAGAAGATGTTTAATGTTGATACACATAATTGTTGACGTTTATCTTAAATGGGTTTTGTAACTGACACGTTTTTAAGACACGATAAACATATTATGTTTGATATGTCAACTTCTAGCTAGGTGTTAGAATTGGTCTTCAGTTACCCATGTTTGTCGTTAGAGGCGACTAATGGGATCAGGTGGTCAGGCTCGCTGACTTGGTTGACACATATTCATGCTGTTGATCACTGGATTGTCTGTTCTAGACTCGATTATTTACTGACCGCCCTCATATAGCTGGATTATAGTGTGGCGTTAAACAACAAACAAACAAAACAACACACAAACAAACAAACCACGTTAAAATCAGACCTAACCTTAAAGTGTTCAGATCTCGTGAGTAA